AAATAAATAAATAAATAAATAAATAAATAAATAAATAAATAAATAAAATGTTTGAGTGTCAGGGCATCATCCCTTTCTATATCTACTCTACCTTTGATGGACAAGAGCCTGGAGCTGCATCAGCCTGAAAGACCCCGGAGATACATTCATGTGCCCAAGACACATCTAGGCCTGGGAGACACCACACAGCAATTCCTTTGCTCTAGTGGTGGGATTCAAATTTTTTTACTGCCGGTTGTGTGGGCTTGGTGGGCATGGCAGGGGAAGGTTACTGCAAAATCCCCCTTCCCTCCCAGTCCCCATCCCAATGACCTGGATTCCAGCTCCATTCTCCTGGGCAGGGCAACCAAAGGAGATCCAGCCAATCAGCTGGGACTCGATGGGAGGCAGAGAAGAGATGGGGGTGAGGCCAGTCAGAGGTGGGATTCTGAACTATTCAAAATTTCCACTATTGGTTCCCCAGAACAGGTCAGACCCCGGTGAATACCACCTCTGATTAGGTCTAAGCAGGCCGCACAAGGGACAATGTACTGGAGCTACCATGCATCGTATAGACAATGTCCCTCCACTCAGACAGGCAACCGTAACGACAACACTTCTACTCCCCAGGACAGTTCCAGTCATGTTGACACTTCTTGAGACAAGGACGTTGTTGTTGTTGTTGTTGTTGTTGTTGTTGAGGGCCCTGGGGACACACTCAGGGGTGGGATTCAAATTTTTAACAACTGGTTCTGTGGGCGTGGCTTAGGTGTGGGCGTAGCTTGGTGGTCATGTGACTGGGTGGACATGGCTTGGTGGTCATGTTATTGGCTGGGCGTGGCCAACTCAATATCACTCACATTGAGGCACGCATCTCCTCGCCTGGCCTCTCATGACTGTGGGGATGCTGCAACAGTCGTAAGTGTGAAAAATGGTCATAAGTCACTTTTTTCAGAGCCATTGTAACTTTAAACAGTCACTCCATTCAAGCAAAGTACCAGCAAAGGAGGGGGAAAAAAACCACAGAGAAGTTCCTGAGACAGGAAGTCTAGTCCTGCCAAGAATGTAATAAGGGTTAATGGAGAGGCAGTTTCTACAAGCAACACCAGAATGTTTCCTTCCTGCCTTCCTTACAGGATTAGGCCAGTAATTTCTTCTAACAAGCGGTTCTCCGAACTGCTTAGAATGTTAACAACCGGTTCTAGCGAATAGGTGTCAACTGGTACAATCCCACCCCTGGAGACACTCCACGTTTTTCTGCAAAAGAGAAGATCCCATGGCTGTGTGGTCCAGATCAAGAAAGATCCCGTCCCTGGACCTCTCAGGATCCAAAACATCTCCTTCTGTCCAGATAAGATGCTGCCGGTTGGAGCCGGATTCCCACCTCCTCCCCTTACCCACAAAGCACAGCAATTTCCTTTTGGAGTCGACCTCTCTGGACCCTGGGCTGGACTTTATAACTGGGTTCCTCTCTCTTAACTCAGAATGCTGGGGGTGCAAATGTGCACTCCCCTCCTCCCCATTTCAACCTGAGAGTTCAACCTGAGTAACAAAGATTCCTTTCTACTGAATCAATCATAGCCTGTTGTGAGAGTCACGATGTTCCATTAACACATCTCATGCTTAATGTAAAGAGGCAGCAATTCTTTTTCAATGAAGAGGCCAGTCCACAACTCCTTACCTACTTACCAACACAGGTGCGGTGGCATTCATCTTTGGTCTTAAACCTGTTGGCATTGCCCTGGCATCCACCATAAATAAACACTAGGCATTGGTTTGAAGCCGGGTTGTAGTAGAAGCGAGGGAAATAGCCTTTACATCGTCCGGGGGCAGGAGGAAGATAACAATACTCTGTGAAAAATGGAAAGGGGAGCGGGAACATTATTTGAGTTGCTAGCACAAAAGTCTTTAACTCACTTCCCCAACCTGGCGCCATCTTAGCATGTTCAGATTGCAAGAAAATAAGAGCCATCTGGGATGTTTCAGTTTGGTTTCCTGCTCTGGGGTTTGGATCAGATGGCTGATGGGATTGTTCGTGTTGCTTAAAATCTTGATTCTTCTGCTGCATTGAGTCAAGATAGGTCAGCCTTCCCCTAAAATTGCATCTCTCTTTCCTGGGACCCCCCTCCCATTTCTGTCTCCTGTTCAGCTGACACCCAACCACCAACTCAAGAACCTCCCCAGGAGAAGCCCCACCAAGCCAGAGGTTCCAGACTGGGGTCTTTGGTTTTCCTTTCCTGGGGGAGAACTCGGATCACTTCAGCCCCTCCCTTCCAAGGGTCTCCAGATCTTTCTGAAAGCTCTACCTGGCCGGTCCTGGCCGGAGATGGGGGTCAGCTCTGCCCAGAGGGTGAGGAGTCCCAGCAGAAGAAGAAGACCTCCAGAAGACATGATGAAGCCGTCTGCCCCACCCTCGGGCTGCTGGCTCTATTTATTCTCCCCGCTGGGAATTTCACAACTCCAGATCCAGGAAGCAGGATGACTTAATGCAGTGAGAATCTGAATTCTCTTTCATAAGTTGGTTGAACATGAGATGACAACATTCAGAGTTGCATTGGCTGGCCAATTTGGGGAAAGCTAGGCAGGTCCCTTTTGTTGTGTTCCAGTCCCTCCCCTCACACAAGAGGCACTCCGAGACCCTAGCCTTATTCCCCGGGTACCCACTTGCACCAAATGTGAAGTTCTGTTGAGTCTGGTACTGTTCAATCTAGGCCCAGGGTCACACAGTCCAAGAATGAAGGCAAATGTCCACAAATCCACACACACAACATCTGAAATCCAGGCACACTTCAAAGTCCATGCATGATAACCAAGTCTCCCTCCCCCCCCTCCAAAAACCCCTCTCTTCTAGCACTGATGTTGTTCCCTCGATGGGTAATGAAACATCTGCAAGAAAATGACCAAATTTAGAGAACAAGAAAATGGAATGGCAGAAAAAATAATAATTAGATAGATGAGAACATTTTATGCATGTAGAATGTATATGTTTTAGGCATATGTTATTATAGGTGTTCATGAAATATCTCCTTTGCAAGCCTTCTGTTCATAATTCACTGATAACTTTCACAATGGGCAGGAATTACTTTCTCAGCAGATCTTTATTTATTTATTTGTCAAGCATATATCAGATAACAGATATAAGTATATACATGATTATGAATACATGATTGGCAGCAACCAGCTGCCAATGTTTCTTCTCATCTTCATCTGGGGATTTGAGGTCTCCTGTTTGCTTATTTATTTTATTTATTTATTTTGTCAAGCAAGTATTAGATAACAAGTATAAGTATAAACATGGTTATGAATACATGAAATGGATATGAATAAAAAGGAAACATTAAGACAGGGACGGTAGGCACATTGGTGCGCTTATGCATGCCCCCTACAGACCTCTTAGGAAAGGGGTGAGGTCAATAGTAGACAGTCTAAGGTTAAAGTTTTTGGGGTTTGGGGAAGAAACCACAGAGTCAGGTAGAGGATTCTAGACATTGGCCACTTTCTTGCTGAAGTCGTATTTCCTGCAATCGAGTTTGGTACAGTTTACCTTGTGTGCTCTTGTATTGTTGTGGTTGAAGCTGAAGTAGTCATTGACGGGTAGGACATTGCAATAGATAATTTTATGTACTATGCTTAGGTCAGACTGAAGGCAGCGTAGTTCTAAGTTATCTAAGCCTAAATTTCAAGTCTGGAGGTATAGGGTATTCTGTTGTGAGTAGAGGAGTAAAGGAGTGGAGGACTATTCTCGTGAAATATCTCTGGACTCTCTTGATTGCATTAATGTCTGATATGCAATGCGGATTCCAGATAGATGAGTTGTATTCGAGAATTGGTCTAGCAAATGTTTTGTATGTTCTAGTTAGTAGTGTGATATTACCAGAGAAAAAGCAACGTAGGATTAGGTTAATAACTCTTAATGCCTTTTTGGCTATGTAGTTGCAGTGGGCTCTAGCACTTAGATCATTAGAGGTGAGTATTCCAAGGTCCTTTACAGAGCTTGGGTCATCAACAAGATCTTGACTATTCAGCTTGTATTTTATTTTCTGATTTTTTTTGCCAATATGTAAGATAGAGCATTTATTTGTTGAGATTTGAAGTTGCCATTTGATTGACCATTCTGACACATAGTCAAGGTCTTTTTGAAGGGTAGAAGCATTGTCGGTGGTCGTGAATAGTTTTACATCATCTGCGAAAAGAATGCAGTTGCTTTTAGTATGATCACAAAGGTCATTTATGTAAAGTATAAAGAGAGTTGGTCCTAGCGGGCTGCCTTGGGCGACACCACTGTTAACAGGTATGGGATTTGATAGGCTGCTCCCTATTTTGATCATTTGTTGCCTGTTTGACAGGAATGCAGCTATCCAGTTATGCAAGTGTCCAGAGATACCATAAGATTTTAGTTTTAGGAGTAGTTTGTCCACTGAATCAAAGTCTTAACAGAAGTCTAGGTAAATAGTGTCTATTGCTTTGCCCTGGTTGACTTGTGTAGTCCATATGTTTTTGCAGTGTAGGAGTTCCAGATTACAGGATATTTTTTTCTGAAACCAAATTGTTTGTTAGAGAGTAGGTTGTTTGTTTCTAATTGGAGAATAATTGATCAAAAAGCATCCATTTCCACCCTCCACCCATCAATTTCCACAGTGGAGATGAAACTCTTCCAGAGTCTACCTAATGCCCCCTTGCAGCTGCAGAACACAGACGGACCCTTGTAATTTGCAGCTGGGACCATGAGGCGAGGCGTGTGATTCTCTCAGAATGACCCTTCCAATCCCTTTTGTCAGGGTACAATATGTGATGCCAACATGCCAACATGTTTTGCAACCCAGGATGACGTTGTGTAAGTCAAGATCCAGGAAGCAGCAGCAGCCCAGGGCTCACCAGTTCAAACACAACAGGGCTCCCTTGATACAGATGACAGGTGTTACCCCATCTATTAGCTCTTCCTGACATGGGCAAAGCCAACAGTTCCTTGCATTGAGAAAGAGATCTCAACATCCTTCCATTTCCTCTTTTTCCTCTTTTTCCTGCAAGGTATCTTCTAGATTCCTCAAAGCAGGGCTCCTTCTGTCCAATCCAGCCTGGCATTCCTGCTATTTGGGCACCATGAAGGCTGCACACGGCCTCCTCCTCCTCCTCTTTCTCCTGGGTCTCCTCACCTTCCCCAGGTCCCCACTCCCACCAAATGTGAAGTTCTCTTGAGTCTGGTACTGTTCAATTTAGGCACAGGATCACAAAGTCCAAGGGGGAAGGCACAAGTCCACAAATCCACACACACACACAAAACATGAAATCCAGGCACAATCCAAAGTCCACACATGCTAACTGTTAGGAATAACATAGGTTACCTAACGTAGTTTGGGTAAAATAATATATATAGACTATGATAGTGAGTTTAAGTGTGTGTCACTTTAACTGCAAAGCATGTAATTTTGGGTGCGGTTGTAAAATCGCCATAAGAGGGAGCAAGAGAACTTGATTGATTGCTGGCTTACTGGATAGCTTGCAGACGATGATGGATTGATGGTGTGATAACTGCGTGTTCTCTGCTGTTGCTGAAGGAAGAAAAGGAGGTTTGACTTCTTCATATCTCTACTGCGAAGAGATATATTACTGGACTGATATTTGTAAGTGTACTGACCTCTTTTTCGACACTGGACTTTGCAACTGAATAATCCCTGGACGGACTGAACTAGTGTATGATATATGGACTGTTTGACTATGCTAAAACTATTACTGGAATAAACTATTTAACTAACACAGTGTATCTGTTTTACTGAGTGTAAGCTACAAAAACGTTTGTCTCACATATTTGCCTGCCTGCCTGACTGCCGTGCAGATTCTTCTAGGGTGTATATCCCTAAGACTAACCAAGCCAAGGTATGAGTCTAGAATCCAATGAGCAATTCCAAGTTCCAAATATGTAGTCAAACAAAGCACAGGAATGGCATCAAGGAAATGGAAGACATGGAGTTAGAGTGTATGCACGAGATGAATAATGGGCAGTTGTTTCCAACATCATGTTGCTCTTCCTCCTCTTCCTCCTCCTCTCTGCAACCCCCCCTCCATTCTAGCACTGATGATGTTACCTGTTAGGATTCAGGTAACACCTGCAAGAAGAACACCAAGCTCAGAGAGCACAAGGGATCCCACAGTCCTCCCCCTCCTCCTCTTCCTCCTCTTCTCCACAAACACTGCTACTTTCTAGCACTGATGATCCTAGCTAGTTGTGTAATGAAATGTGTGCAAGAAAACCACCAGGCTGAGAGAGCACCTAGGAGACAACACGTCAACAGTGAGCTACCAATTTTCTCTTCTCTCTTTGCACAATTTACCTGACAGGGTCAACCCAACCTCCATCCCCACATCTGAACTGCAACTGAGTAGCCATGCCACACCAGCTGCAATTTTTGAAAAATCCAAACAATTGTTATTTGGATGCTGTCTTCAATGTTTGGTATCAGTGAGGCTTTTTGCTATGGAACAGCTTCTTGGGTTTCTATTGAACCTTCAGACCTTGCCTAATCCAACTCCATCTCTCACTGCAGTTGAAGTTCTCTCTGTGTTGTGAAATTTAGGAGTTTCTGGTTAAGGAGGAACAAGGACAGATAAATGAAGGGGGGACAAGCAATATCCCAAGCAGGCAGGAGAAGCTGCTGTGTGCCAACCCTTCCTATTCATGGACCAATCTATCTGCACTGATGACATCACCAAGAATGGCAGTGAAATGTGATCAATATTCAAACCAGGTTCTCAGAACACCAAGGATCCACCAGGAGATACCAAGGGTGGGGCCACGAGGGTTTCTCTTGGGTCCTCTGCTCTTCGGCGTGGCTCTGAATCTTTGGATGAAGAGGGGGAGGAAATGCAAATGGATTGCATGGGAAAGGTAATCCTCTGGAAGAAAAAATAAATAAAATCCCAAATCACCTCATTACAAGAATGTCTGTGGAGATTCTCAATCATCCAGGTCATGGTTGTCCCAAAGGTGCTTTTTTCAAGAGGCAATTGGACCTTCTGGATTTTCTTTGAAGACATTTCACTTCTCCTCCAAGAAGCTTCTCCAGAGCTGAAGAAGCCTCTTGGATGAGAAGGGAAACGTCTTCAAAGAAAAACCAGAAATTCAGTTGCTTCTTGAAAAAAGCATCTTTGGGACTCATTACAAGAAGAAATGGGTGGAAGATCATAAAGGGAGATACAACCTAGGACTAAGGAGAAATTTCCTGACAGTGAGAACAATTAATGGGATGAGTAGAATGATTTCGGAAATGGTGGGCACTCCATTGCTGGATGTTTTTAATAAGAGATTGGACAACCATTTGTCTGGAATGGTATAGGGTCTGCTGTTTGAGCAGGGAGTTGGACTAGAAGACCTCCAAGGTCCCTTCCAACTCTGATGTTTCTCTATTCGATCTTATTTTTCCAGACTCCATTGTTACGGTGACTGTCACCTTTTCCAGTCTGACAGTGATAATCATAGAGGTGGTGGTGTTGCTACCTTCTATAAGAAGCCCCGAGGTCTGAAAAAGATTCGTGTCGCTCCAGAGCTTGCTCTTCCTGAGACTATTGCCTGCGAACTGTCCCAAAATGCCACACTTCGTTTCTTGCTATGTTATAGAGCCCCTGATTATGACCTTGGTCCTATGAACAAGCCAACTGCACTACTAGCATGGGCAGCTTCCTGCCCGCACCCTCTTATCTTTCTTGGTGACCTCAATCTACCTCTTATGAATTGGACCCTAAATGAATGCACAACTGAACCTATACATGCAACCCTGTACAATGCTGTTACAACTCTGGGGCTGGAGCAGTTGGTAACGAACAACACCAGGCTCAACAATTGTTTAGATCACAACTGCATATAAAGAAAAATGGTATAAGATGTTTTACAGGTGGCATCTACCCCCAACGAGAATTGCGAGAATGTTCAAGAACAAATCGGATAAATGTTGGAAATGTCATCAGATACCTGGTTCATATTACCATATGTGGTGGATATGCTCGGATGCAAAAAGATATTGGACTAAAATCCACACATGGTCGGAAAAAATGATAAAACAACACATAGACTTCAAACCAGGGATATTTTTATTGGGAATTATACCGGAAATATACAAAAGGACTGAAATATTTAATAAAGAACTGAAATATTTTATTGTAAATGTTTTAACAGCGGCTTGAATTGTATTTGCTAAGAATTGGAAAAATGAAAAAATACCTATGTAGGAGGAAGTTATTAAGAAAATTATGGACTGTGCTGAAATGAGTAAATTGACATTTGAAATTAGAGAACAAGAAGATAAACAATTTTATATGATATGGGATTTGTTCTATCAATGGTTGGACAAAAAGACATGGTAATGTAATATATTAGATAATTTTGTAATAGAAGTTTAATAGATTGAGATAAAATATAATACAGACATATATAACCATTGGATGAAAGTACAATATAAATTTCAAAATAAAATTTGGAATATCTCGTATAAAATGAAGGAATAAATAGTTTAGTCATGGATGATTAATAACTGATAAATATATGAACATATGTTAGTTTGACAATGTGAAAATTTATATAAACCATGAGTAATGACTATGAAAGGATAGCACAAAAGATTTGTAACCAACTGACACACTGTATGTATATAAAATGGAAGATGGTTTTATGTTTTTATGTTTTGTTTGTATATGTTTGTCTTAAAAAATAAAAAACATTTTATAAAAAAAAACAATTGCTTAAATCTCATTTCTCACAGCATGGTTGATTTTTGTCTCAACTTGAGTCCTTGCATCATAATGACGGGACTCCAAATTATAACATAAAAAAGCCAAAGATGATCTCATATTTGCAGACCTCCCATCTCTTGATTGGCACCTTCTGTTCACGGGTTGTAATGATGCAGAAGATCATTATAACACTTTTTTGCTTGAAGTCATTTATTTATACATACCTAAAATAACTCCTAAAGCCAAAAATAAAAACAAATTACCCATGACAATAAGAAAACTACAATCCAAGAAAAATATCTCTTTGGCGAGCAAACAAAACTGGCTACATAGCTAACTTTAAAAACCGCTACAAAACCTTATGCCACCAGATAAAGGCAGAATGCACCAATTTACTACTGCAAACAAGAGGAAAAACTGTTATACACAAAATCCACCCGTGCCTTCTATAATTTCGTAAATACCAAACTTAAAGACTCGAAAATCATAAAACCTAAAAGGGCCTAACAGGAAAGACTATAATGATGAAGCCGTTAAAGCCAATATTTTCAACACGTTCTTCAGTTCAGTCTTTATCAACAGCAATAGCTCATGCCCCCCATTTCCTAATCGTACCACAACTAGTTGCAACGATCTGCTACATATTCATTTTACAGAAGATAACGTTGAAAAGGCACTACACAAACTAAAACCATCCCTATCTATCGGCCCTGATGGATTATGTGCCTTCTTCTTAAAAAAGCTTTCCACTGCCATAGCCGAACCACTAAGCGAAATCTACGAGATATTTTTTAGAACCATCTCTTTGCCCGTCCTATGGTCATTAGCTACAGTTATTCCTATCTTCAAAAAGGGAGATCCCAGCCTAGTTGAAAATTACAGATTAATTTCATGATGTTTTGTCACCTGCAAAGTCATGAAATCAATCATCAACCAATCCATTACCATCCACTTAGAGACAAACAACCTACTCTCTAACATTGAATTTGAATTGGCATCCTTCCATCTCAAGAGCCGATGGTAGCATGCTCTGAAAAGAGGTCCTAAAAGAGCATCTAGTGTGGCTAAAAAGGCCAATTTGAGAGTGGCAATCCCTTCCACACTGAGGACAGATATAGTCTGCCTCCTGTCAAGCCCCCAGATTTCGCTGGTTCCAGGACTGTCCCTTGGCCTCAGCCTGCTCAACGAGGGTCTGTTCGAATTGAAGAAGGCCATGCTGCATCTTTAGCCTCCAAGTTGAATGATCAGAGGTCAAGGTTTCCCAGCTGTTTATGTCCATGCCCACTCTCTAACAAATAGTTTGGTTTCAGGAAAAATTTGTCCTGTAATCTACAACTCTTACACTGGAGAAACATTTGGACTACACAACTCAACCAGGGTAAAGCAATAGATGCAATTTACATAGACATCTGCAAAGCCTTTGATTGAGTGGTACACAACAAACTACTATTAAAACTACATTCTTAAGGCATTTCTGGATTACTGCACAAATTGATAGCTGCATTCCTGTCAAACAGGCAACAAGTAGTCAAAATAAGAGGTGCGCCATCAAACCCTGCACCAGTTAACAGCGGTATCCCCCAAGGCAGTGTACTAGGACCCACTCTCTATCTAATTTACATAAATGACCATTGAAACCCTATTATAAGCAACTCTTCACTGATGGCATAAAACTATTTAACCCCACTGACAATACTGCTACCCTACAAAGCGACCTTGACTCTGTGTCAGAATGGACGAACAATTGGCAACTTCAAATGCTCTGTCTTACACGTTGGCAACAAAAATCAGAACACAAAAAACAAACTGGGAGGATATAACCTCATAGACAACCCACTCTCTGTCAAGGACCTAGGAGTACTCATTTCAAAAGATCTAAGCCCCAGAGCTCACTGTAACAGCATTGCCAAAAAAGTACAGCTCATCTGCCTGGAATCCACATGGTATAATATACATTAATACAATTGAGTGAGTCCAGAGGTATTTCACGAGAAGAGTCCTCCACTCCTCTGCTCACAATAGACATTTTGGACCTGGACAACCTAGAACTACGCCGCCTACAGTCTGATCGAAGCTAAGTTCACAAAATTGTCTGCTACAAAGTCCTACCCGTCAATGACTACTTCAGCTTCAACCACAATAAGACATGGGCAAACTGTAGATACAAACTCAAAGTAAACTGCTCCAAACTCAACTGTAGAAAATACAACTTCATCAACAGAGTGGTCAATGCCTGGAATTCATTACCTGACTCTGTTGTTCCAGCCTCAAACCCCGAAAATTTTAACCAAAACTGTCTACCATGGACCTCACCCCATTCCTAAGAGGTGTGTAAGGAGGCTTGCATAAGCGCACCAGCATGCCTACCGTCCCTGCCCTACTGTTTCCTTTATTCATATCCATTTCTTATCTGTTTATACTTATATATTTATATGTTATGTTCATACTTACACATGTTTTACCATACACGCTTGACAAACAAACCAATAAATAAAATAAAAAATAAATAACAACTGCTGAGCTTTTGCAGGATTGCAACTGGTATGGCAGGGCTGCTCCGTTGCAGTTCAGATGTGGGGAGGGAGGCTGGGTTGAGCCTGTTCACTTGCAAAAAGGATCTGCAGGGTCACTTCTAATGGATCCTATTTCATGGAAAAAGACAGGAAACACCAAAGGTAAAAGTACAGATTAGGAGAAACCCGACTCAAAAACAGGAACTGTGAGGGACCTTGGAGTCTAAGTGACAATCTCTTAGACATGAGCCAGCAGTTGTGGCAGCAGCCGAAAAGGCGAACACAATCCTGGGTTGTATAAATAGAGTCATAGAATCAAAATCAGGCGAAGTATCGGTGCCACCTTATAAAGCCTTAGTAAGGGCACACTGATTAGCATTGCCAACTGGCAGTTAGAAGAACCAATGGAAACTTTTATTTTATTTATTTTTTCTTCCAGAGGATTACCTTTCCCATGCAATCAATTTGCATTTCTTCTCCCTCTTCATCCAAAGATTCAGAGCCACACTGAAGAGCACAGGACCCAAGAGAAACCCTTGTGGCCCCACCCTTGGTATCTCCTGGTGGATCCTTGGTGTTCTGAGAACCTGTTTGCATATTGATCACCTTTCACTGCCATTCTTGGTGATGTCATCA